ATAGATAGATAGATAGATAGATAGATAGATAGATAGATAGATAGATAGATAGATAGATAGATAGATAGATAGATAGATAGATAGATAGATGCCATATGACATTCTAACATACTGTACAAAGTTCCTTTAGGAGAGAGAGAGAAACAGACAAAGCGAGTGTGTGCCAGCTGGCACAGAGTGTGTGATGATATTGTTTCAACAGTCTGATGTTTTTTGGCTGGACACACACAGCATAAGTTAGTGTAATTATCAGTACACACACACACACACACATTCAGCATTCTTCGAGAGGCAGCTAATGTGTCTGGTCTCTTGATGAAGTCCTTGTGTTCAGGTTTCATTTGTAGCAGTTTTACAGGCAAGCCAAGCTGTGGTTTGTGATATTGCAGAGGATTGAGATGTTTAGGTTTAGAGACTTTTTTTAACTGTATGTGTGTGTGTGTTTGTGTGTGTTCAGACAAAGACAGATTCAGCATAGCTTTGTGTCATCAGTAGACCCCTAGAGCCTCTTAAACATTGACCTACATGCACAACCCAATATACGCCAACATATGCCATATATCTAAATCCTATATTACAGCGCCCCCTAGGGTCGGAGTGTGCACTCACTGGCCACTTTATTAGGTACACCTTACTAGTACCGGGTAGGACCCCCCTTTGCCTTCAGAATTGCCTTAATCTTTTGTGGCATAGATTCAATAAGATACTGGAAATATTCCTCAGAGATCTTGGTCATCACGCAGCTGCTGCAGATTTGTCGGCTGCACATCCATGATACGAATCTCCCGTTCCGCCACATCTCAAAGGTGCTCTGTTGGATTGATAGCTGGTGACTGTGGAGGCAATTTGAGTACAGTGAACTCATTGTCATGTTTAAGAAACCAGTCTGGGATGATTCCCGGTTTATGACATGGCACTGGAAGATGGGTACACTGTGGTCATAAAAGGATGGACATGGTCAGCTACAATACTTAGGTAGACTGTGGTGTTGACACGATGCTCAATTGGTACTAAAGTGTGCCAAGAAAATATCCCCTCCACCATTACACCCACACCACCAGCCCGAAGTGTTGATACAATGCAGGATGGGTCCATGCTTTCATGTTGTAGACGCCAAATTCTCACCATACCTGGCAACGTTTTTCCAATCTTCTATTGTCCAATTTTGGTGAGCCTGTGCGAATTGTGGAATGGCACCCGGTGTGGTCTTCTGCTGCTGTAGCCCATCTGCCTCATAGTTGGACGTCTTGATTATTTTCTCTTTTTCAAACCATTCTCTGTAAACCCTGGAAATGGTTGTGCGTGAAAATCCTAGTAGATCAGCAGTTTCTGAAATACTCAGACCAGCCCGTCTGGCACTAACAACCATGCCATGTTCAAAGTCACCTTTCTTCTTCATTCTGATGCTCGGTTTGATCTGCAGCAGATCATCTTGACCATTTTTACATGCCTAAATTTATTGAGTTGCTGCCTTGTGATTGGCTGATTAGAAATTTGCATTAACAAGCAGGTGGACAGGTGTACCTAATAAAGTGGCCGGTTAGTGTATATTTCAGAATTTGAGAAGCAATTAGAGTTCCATTTTATGGAATGTCACAGTACTGTATGTCGTTTGTGTGTGTGTGTACACGTGTTTAAATTACTGTTTTATTTTTAAACTGACATTATCATTTATTTTTAAATTTCCGTTTAAGACAGAGCACATGGAATTTGTTTTGACCTTTCCCGTTAATTTATTTATTTGTGTGTCTATTTTAGGGTCCTAGAGGTCCAGATGGGGTGCCAGGTGAGATTGGCACTGAAGGCAAAAAGGTAAAGGGCCGTGTCTTCTACAGGACATCTAGTGACCAAATATAAATGCTATTAAATCAAAGTTTAACAAATGTTTCCTCACAGGGTCCTGATGGTCCTCCTGGAAAAATTGGTTTCCCTGGACACGCGGTAAAAACCTTACTATTAAATTCTTAGATTGCATTTCTATGGTAACTATTGCCAAACTAGTGCCTCTACAGTCTTTAATTATGTTTTTATAGCAACTATGTGCAGCTTTTAATTGTGTTTCTCTGGCAATTGTTGCATGTCACTTCAGTCTTTGATTGTGTTCCAATGGTAACAGTGTCTGTCCAATCTCTCCGCAGGGAAAGATCGGCGAGTCTGGGGAGGTGGGGCCAAAGGGATTTCCGGTTAGTTTCTTTAATAAAAAATATTATACTGTGTATTGAGTGATTTACACTCACTGGCCACTTTATTAGGTACACCTTACTAGTACCAGCCTGGTCCCTCTTTTGTCTTCAGAACTGCCTTAATCCTTCATGCCATAGATTCAACAAAGGTCCTGTAAATATTCCTCAGGGATTTAGGTCCATATTGACATGATAGCATCATGCAGTTGCTGCAGATTTGCCAGCTGCACATCCATGATGCGAATCTCCCATTCCACCACATCCCAAAGGTGGTCTATTGGATTGAGATCTGGTGACTGTGGAGGCCACTTGAATACAGTGAACTCATTATCATGTTCAAGAAACCAGTCTGAGATGATTCACACTTTATGACATGGTGCGTTATCCTGCTGAAAGTAGTCAGAGGATAAGTATACTGTGATCATAAAGGGATGGACATGGTCAGCAACAATACTCAGGTATGCTGTGGCGTTGACACGATGCTCAATTGGTACTAATGGGCCCAAAGTGTGCCAAGAAAATATCCCTCACACCATTACACCACCACCAGCAGCCTGAAGTGTTGGATGGATCCATGCTTTCATGTTGTTGATGCCAAATTCTGACCCTACCATCCAAATGTCACAGCAGAAATAGAGACTCATCAGACCAGGCAACGTTTCTCCAATCTTCTATTATCTATTGTCCAAGCCTGTGTGAATTGTAGCCTCAGTTTCCTGTTCTTAGCTGACAGGAGTGGCACCCGGTGTGGTCTTCTGCTGCTGTAGCCCATCCACCTCATGGTTGGACGTGTTGTGTGTTCAGAGATGTTCTTCTGCAGACCTCGGTTGTAACGAGTGGTTGTTTGAGTTACTGTTGCCTTTCTATCAGCTGGAACCAGTCTGGCCATTCTCCTCTGACCTCTGGCATCAACAAGGCATTTGCGCCCACAGAACTGCCGCTCACTGAATATTTTCTCTTTTTCAGATCATTCTCTGTAAACCCTAGAGATGGTTGTGTGTGAAAATCCCCGTAGATCAGCAGTTTTTGTAATACTCAGACCAGCTTGTCTGGCACCAACAACCATGCCACGTTCAAAGTCACTTAAATCATCTTTCTTCCCCATTCTGATGACCATGTCTACATGTCTAAATGCATTGAGTTGCAGCCATGTGATTGGCTAATTAGAAATTTGCATTACCGAACAGTTAGACGGTGTACCTAATAAAGTGGCCGGTGAGTGTATATGTGTTGCAAATGTTTAACACTATTCTTTAAAGCTCCTGTGAAGTGCTTTGAAATTGGTATTTTTATTCGATGTTTGATGTAATCTCAACCAAAACATGGTGAGAGGGCGATCAGAGTAGCCTTTTTATAAAGCAGCCAATAGTGTTTTGTTTTATAACAGCTCTGCCAGTGAGAGTGGCACAGCCGGTGAACTGTCATGCCATTATAAACTGGCCACATTTAACATCGGGTATGTTTGACATCAATGATCTTTACTGTCTGATTGAGTTACAATAGAAACATTTCCCATCAGACAAGAAGCACTGCATTAAATTCCAAGTCTTTAAATTATGGATATTTATTTTATCGTAGTATTTTTAATGGACTTTCAGCACTCAGCTGCTGCTCCTTATCTCTTTTGACGCTTAAACAACTATTGCTTAAGTTTATTTAGCAGACCATGTTTTAGTGATTAACAGTTTTATTGATTCTCAGGCAGGTTTCAGCATGGAATACAGAATACAAGTCTGAAAATAATCAACATTTTTTTTCCCTATTATTAACCCACCCCAAACTAATCCCCAACTACTACTTTAAGGTTCTGGCTTGGCTATCAGTAAATATAATTAAGGCCTCTATCTTATATAATGAAGAAAAAATTTAAATAAAATACAATAGAAATTAAATGAAACAAATGAATGGGTAAGTTTAGTCAATGACATATCAAATTTACACTGTTGACATCAGTATATTTCTCATACATTTATTACTGTTCCATTTCCAAACAGTTTAAGTACTTGGACCATTTTTTAAAGTACAGGTTTAGCTTGTCCATTTGCTTATAAGACATTTTTTCAAATGCGGCCACTCTAGCAAGTTCTACTGCCCATTCTTGGAAGGAAGGGGCCTCCTCTGATTTCCAGCTCCTAAGAATTATTTGTCTGCCAATCAGTAAACTGGTTTGGACCCAAAATTTTATGTTTTTATCTTTTATTTCGTTGTCTGTCCAACTACCTAGTATAAACAGTCTTGGGCATAGTGAAATACGAAAGTCTAAAACTGAACAAATGTGTTCATGAACTCTTTTCCAGAAATCCTGAATTTTTGTACAAGACCATAGAGCATGAACTAAATCAGCAGACCATGTTTTGATTAATTTACATTATTGATGCTGTAAAAGGAACCATATGGAATTAAGGATAGTCACATTAAAGGTGCAGTAGGGGATCTGCTAAAATGCTAACCGCTTAGCATATTAGCTTTGGACGGCAGGGAGGAACTGTGATTCAAAGCCATGCCTCCTGAAATCGTGAACATGCGCACTGCGTCACAACAGCAGACAACCCACTAGTTCATTTCATTCGCCAGCGGGTTTCAGGAATTACATTTATTACTAAGCCACACTTACATGCTATATCAGAGCGAATGTTCAGAGTAGCATGGTAAACAGTATAGGAAGGCTGTCGTTGTTCAAAAATGACCCAATGTGAATATAAAAGCAACTTCAGCTCAATACAGCAGGTTAGGCGGAATAGCGCTATTCACTGATGTTTTTTTGTTAAACTAATTATAAATCTACATTATAGATGCTGTCAAAGATCCCTTATGAAACTGAAAATAATCACATCTAGCTTCCACCGGGAGATTTCAGTGGCTGAACAACACGTCTGTGAATACAAGCAACTCATAACAGAACACAATCTGACATCAGCTTAGCCTGACTAAAATAGTTTTAAAACAGAACATTACCTGTCTAACAGTAATACTTCAGCCATGGTGTCGTCCTTCCTCCAGCGTGCTAAAGTAACTCCAATACTGATTCAGGAGTTTAAAAAGTTTCAATTCAGCATTGGATTTCACCTCATCTGTGATTGTCACAGCGCGCGGCGCTCATGCTCACGTCGAATGGTGGATCTGTGTGAACAGATGCGCAGAAGTCCGAATCTACATTTGTTGACAGACAGTCTGAGCTACTTATCGGTATTATGGGAGATGTCAGCCCGACATTATTTAATTGGATCAACATTTTTTAGTTGTATGCCTTACCTCAAATATAAAAATATATATAAACACATTTAGATCATTTACTTTAATCAGTACTATTGGACTGTGGAGAGACTTTAAACCAGCACAACAACAAATGTTTCTGAAGACAATCACCTACTGCACCTTTAACATTGCACTGGAAGTCTATCGGTGGCTGAAAAGCACTTCTGTGCTTATGGCCCGTTGTTCATTTGTCTTCATATTAATTTATTATTATATTAATCATTGATTTATTGCCTTTTCACTATTATAATAATTTAATTCATTCAACATGTTTTATTTGAATGATCTGTTTCTGAAGGGGATTCAAGGGCCATCCGGGGCTACAGGAGACAAAGGAATCGCAGGGGAGCCAGTGAGTGATGCATTATTTCCGTTCAACACACAGAAACATATTTTTTCCACTGTCTTTTTGTGTAAACCGAGGGCTGGAAATCTACTTTGCGTCTTCTGGGTGTTGAGCAACTCAGAGTGATGAGTTTAAACCAGGGGTGCTCAATCCTGTTCCTGGAGAGCCACCTTCCTGCAGATTTCAGTTGCTACCCATATCAAACACACTTGCCTGTAATTATCACGTGGTGTTCAGGTCCTAATTAATTGGTTCAGGGGTGTTTGATATGGGTAGCAACTGAAATCTGCAGGAAGGTGGCTCTCCAGGAACAGGATTGAGCACCCCTGGTTTAAACACTGTGTATTTTTATCACATTCAGTCCTCAAATATAGATCAATTAAATGGTGTAATAATTGATGTCTGCTTTTTTATTAGGAAAAAATAATCATAACTCTTTGATGCACAAGCTAAAAAATAGATATAGAAAAAATAAACTTGGGTCACTTTAGACCCATGCAGTGCATCAAAGGGTTAATAAACAATATTATGGTGATAAATGTATTTTCTAGTGAGCACTCAAGTTCATGACCTAATTAGTTTTTTTTTGGCACTCATCTCTCATTTGTAATTAGTTCAGTGTTTGTGATTATGTACTGAAAAATGTAAATAAGGTTTAGCAGTAGCTTTGCCAAGATATGGAAACTGTACAAACATACATATGCACACACACACACGAACATCTGCTTCACGGTTTAACACGTTGGCTTCAGATAATGGGAGATTGCAATGTTGAAATGAGTGCCTGTCTATGTTTTCTAGTATGTATTACTGATACATTATTTTATTTGTTTGGGACAAGGGACCGTCAGGACCTCCAGGAACACTCGGGCCTCAAGGAAATCCCGGACCAAAGGTAAAAGACGCCACACGTACACAAACACTATTTTTTCTTTTGCTTCTGTCTGTTTTCATTCTCCCTGATTGTGATTGATACTGATATTAAAATGATTAGCCTTGATTAATCCTGTTTATACGCTGTTGATTTTGATTAATGAAAGTAATTTCGTTTCATTAATCCATCTGTTTTGATAACAAAAAAGACTTGTTTATGTTTATCTTTCTCTCAGGGCCCTGCAGGAAAAGTTGGTGATTCTGGACTTCCAGGAGAACCTGGAGAAAAGGTGGGATAAATATCAACATTAGGGGTGTCACGATTTTGATTTTTAATCGAAATCGATCGAAATTTATGCTCAATTTCGATTATCGAATCAAAAAATAGAATCGTCGATGCTGCCACGCCCCCATGTCACGTCAGCTTGGCTTGCCAAGCGGGAAAATAACAGGCTTGTTGAAGTGCTTGTTAAACTGCAGAAGCAGGAGACCCGTCGACAGAACTTAAACCCTCTTCTCTTTCAACGAAGTCGCCGGTGTGTAAGCATTTTGGATTTCCAGTGAGTTATGTTGACATCGTTCGTGTTGTCGACAAAAAAAAAACACAGTTTTACAGGCTCTGCTATGTACGCATTACGTACAGTTCGTCCGATAGACAACACCGGCATCGTGATCCTCCGCCCGCCCCCGTTGCAAATCCGCTCGCAAAAAGTACACACTCAGGCTCTGTTTACACTGTCTTTGTTTTTAAATAGCATTTTAGAACGACAACGATTTGACATCCACAGTGGCGTGTAGCATTTCTGAGCAGCCCTCCTTCCTTTCTACCTCTGAAAATGCACATCACGTGACCACACAGACACAGACGCACACAGCCATGCGCTCGAGACAGCAGGTCCAGGCAGTCAGAGGACTGCTTCAATCTTTCACTCACTTGTACTTTGTCATTTTAGCGAACACCTCAGATACTGTTGGCTGGTCCCTGTTGGTTGTGCGTCTTTTTTTACCGACGCCATTATAACGACACAGATCACTGCCTATTCACGAGTCCCGCAGAAAAAAGTGATTGACAGGTGGTAATTATGTGTGTATCTTGCCTTTATTCATTTACTGTATGATTTGTTTATGGGTAAAACAAAGACCATGCAGGTCAGGTAGTTTAAACGGTAGGCTACAAATAATTAATTGGTCATTAATTAATTAATTATTCATAATCGAAAATCGAATCGAATCATGCCTTTAGAATCGAAAATGTAATCGAATCGTGGATTTGGAGGATCGGGACACCCTTAATCAACATATATACGTATGAAGTGAAAATTATTAGCCCTGTTTCAAATATTTCACAAATGATGTTTAACAGAGCAAGGAATTTTTCACAGTATTTCCTATAGTATTTGTTCTTTTGGAGAAAGTCTTATATGTTTTATTTCGGCTAGAATAAAAGCAGTTTTAATTTTTTTAATAATTTTTTAAATCAACCTTTTTTTTATCACAGCGGACCGGTCATCAATTGACAATTTTGCCGCGACCTGGTAGTGGGTGGGATGTATGTAGATTGCTAGACGAACATTAACCGTTTTCTCAAAGGATGACAAGCTAACAAAACATTGCTGCAACTCTGATACGAGTTTTATTTATAGAGAAAACTAAAAAGCACTGCAGTGTTTGGGTGTTCAATGCTGGATATTATTGCCTGGACGGTGCGACCGCTTTACGCCCTCTACACGTGTCACTCCTAATATGAAAATAACTTGCACGTGGAAAAGACGTGATATGTAAACGCCCCTAAGGTTTGCTTTCATTTGCAATCTACAGCACTTGATCTTTTTCTTGCACAGACAAGCTGGAATCACCTTATTTAATACATTGACTCTTTGGATAATGTTAGTTTGTATAATACAGGCTTGAGTTAATCAAGCTTATGTATTTTGTGTGATAGGCTATGATGATAATGAATAGCCATTATAGGGGTGGTCAAAGGCATATCTAATATTTTAATTATTAACATTATTATTTAAAACAGAGATCAGAGTGAACTTTTTCTCAGATTCAAAGAGCTGATACCCCATACATCTTGTTTTGATGTCCTTCAGGGGGATATAGCCTTATTTAGGGGGGTCAATCCCCCCAAAGCCCCCCTGTAATTCGCAACCTGGTTAATGGGTTCTTCCCTGGGCCTTTTTTTGTTGGCAAAGAAACTTTCCATAGATATCTGTTACTTACTCATTTTGCTGCTTGTGGGTTAAATTTGGGTGCTTAAGTGACGTGATGTAACTGAGAGAATATGGTCATTTTTCAAAATAAAGGATTGTTCAGACTCAGATAATAAATAAAACAGAAATAATTAGTCATTTCTTGTGTGACCCTGCACCAATTGATCCAGGGACCGGTACCGGTTGGCTGCCCAGGGGTTGAGGACCACTGGTCTACAGAACAAACCATCATTATACAGTGACCTGTCTATTTCCCCAACTTGCCTAATTAGACTAGTTAAGCCTTTAAATGTCTCTTAAAGCTGAATAGTATTGTAATACTAATACTAATACTGGTAGTCTTCATGGCAAAGATAAAAGAAATCAGTTATTAGAAATGAGTTATTATGGTGAGAATTATTATGTTTAGAAAAATCTTCTTTGCGTTAAACAGAAAATGTGGGTGGGGTATACAGAGGGGCTAATAAATCTGGCTTCAACTGTATAATTCATTTTGAATACTATTTATAAGACAAACTATTGTTCATCTAACAGGTTTTATACATGTATATGCAAAAAAGTAAATAAATAAATAAGCCATGTTTAAATTTGCCCTAATTTTAGTAACGGATTATTAACAAAAGTCCAACACAACTCATATAAGAGCTCATATAGCATGCGGTCAACCATCTGGAGATTGCTAATCAACAATTTCCTCCTTTCACAAACCATCTGAGTTTAAATAAAGTCTGCATTTTTAAGAGCTGTTGGCGTTGTTTAGTGCCCAATTCATGAAAAGAGCCTAAAATTAGTGTTAAACCGTTTCCCATCATTTTCTTTCAAGAGGTGCTATTATGCAGCACTAAATGACTGTTGCTAAATCCGATTGTGTTTGGCAGCTCAGATCTGCATTGAGCTGTTGAGTATATATGTGCCAGATGCAGCCTGAAGAGGAACCATATGACTACATTAGTATTGTTAAAGTTAGATCTGAGCTCGGCATTGCTCTCAGACGCAGATGTGCAGTCACACACCATTGCTCATTATTGGCATTTCACTGACTGGACTCATGTATTTAAAAGGAACTTGATATAAATAATGAAAGCATCTGTGTGTTTGGACTCTTATTATGTGTTTTTATTGTTTGCATAGGGGTCAATCGGGCTTGCAGGGAATGCTGGGGCTGCAGGACTTATCGGAGCAAGGGTGAGTGTTAAATATATCTGCGAAAAGCTTTTTAACAGTTTGTCGAGAGTATCGCTGTGGTATATTTGTGATATTAACTGTTAGCTTGTTCATTTATTTGACTAATTTGAAAAATGTTAGATGTCTACTTGGAAAAGGTTCGAATTTCTGGATAGTGAAATAAAAAATAAAAAAAAAACACTTTTCCATTTGGAGTGATACAACAGTTAAACACTACACGGTTGAGTGTGTAAGTGCTTAATTCAATTCAATTCAGTTCTTCTTTATTGCTATAACTCTTTATTAATGTAGATTGCATCAAAGCTTCCTAACATAGAAGTTATAGTAAATTGAAACTGCATCAGTCAACCCAGGCTCATTCTGAAAACGTAGACCAGCGGACGTTTCTGGAGACCACGAAATACATCCCGAGAGGTATGTATGGCTGCATTTTATTTTTTTAAGCGAACGCTACGGGGCGGAGTGACGCTAATACCTTTCGCGCTTGCCGGCTGACCGATTACCTCCGTGTGGAGGGCTTTCCGGCCGCAATCAGTTTGTCCGGTCAGCTCATCGTGTGCATCGGCGGACTTCACGTGGTGAAATCTGAAAAAGTAGTGAAAAAAAAACAGACGAGGGCTTTTCTTTTTCTTGAGGGCTTTTCTAAATTGTTGCTCGGGTTTAGGGAAGTGAGCGGGCGGGCGTGTCAATCGGTAAAACTGGTTGGGTTCAGGGAAGGAGGAGAGTGGGTCAGCCGATTGGCCGGTCGCGCAGTCAATCATTCAGTCAGTCAGACAGCGGCCTCTGGTGGGTTGACGCGAGAACAGCGCGGGCACGAACGGCACTCGCGAGAGACGTTCGAGATACGAAAAAGCATATCTCAGCGGCTTCTCGCAGATTCTTGAAAGCAAAACTGCACAAATACGTACCTCCCGGGATGTATTTTGCGGTCTCCAGAAACATCCGCTGGACTACGTTTTCAGAATGAGCCTGGGTTGGCTTCAGTCCAGTTTTCAGAGTTGAAGTTCAGTTTAGTTATAATTGTAAAGTGTTTTATTTGAGACGCATCTTCTGTTTGTCTGATACAGGGAGAACCAGGTTTAGAGGGAGAGGCTGGTCCCGCTGGTCCTGATGGCACAAAGGTAACACTTTTTAAACTTTTTTTATTTATTATTATTATTATTATTATTATTATTATTATCATTATTATTATTATAATTGTTTATTTATTTTTTCCATTTTGTATGATTATGGGAGCATTTCATAGAAAACTCCAAACAAATCTCCAATAGAACATGGCATTTTTGTTAGGGCTGCACAGTGTTGGAAAAAGTGCACATTGTGATTTCTTTTTTTATTCTGCGATATTTATTGCAATATGAATACAATTTCACTAGATGAATTAAATAAATGTTTGTAAAGAATCTATAATTTTAGATTGATTGGGATGATTCTGTTGGGGAGTGCATAAAATATAATAAACAATCTACAAGCATAGACAAAATCAATAAAGAGAAATATGCTAATTAAATAAACTGTTTATTGTTTTCTTGGGAGTCGAACTGTATTCACGTATACAGTAATTTAATAACCAAGTGTAAAAGAATACTGCATAGTCTTTTTTTTATAAACAATTCCATAAAATTAATCGTTTTAATTATTTTTGAAAGGTACAACGGTAGTTTCTTATGCCTGAATGCTTTTAAATCTCACACAGTCATAGGCCTCAAAAAACATTTGCAAAACGATCAGTCTAATCCAGACTCAACATTGTGTAGACTCGCGATGTAACTATTGTGAATGATCACATTGCGAGATCTACGCTAAAACAATAGATTGTGCAGCCCTAGTTTTTGTACTTAAATGAGCATTCTCCATCATATGTGCAAAGTTTGGTGAAAGTTAAATTCTAAAATAAAAATTTACCATTTTCAACCCTGGCTTTAAAGGGGACCTATTACGCCCATTTTTACAAGTTGTAAAATAAGTCTCTGATGTCCATAGAGTGTGTATGTGAAGTTTCAGCTTAAAATACCGAAGAAATAATGTTTTATAACTCTTTGAATATGCCCCATTTAGGCTTTGATCCTAATTGTGTAATTTTGGTGACTGTCGCTTTAAATTCAAATGAGATTGTGCTGTTTTCAGAAGAGGGCAGAGCTACAAATGCCTGTGTGTCAGCATAGTGGCAGATTCAAGAACAATACCAATGTCCTATTCTAACAAGGGAGAGATGGTCTCTAATGGGCGGGGCTTTCCCCCTCTGATGACACGTACAAAAGGAGAATGTCAATCAAACACATTTTTACTATTAGAAGTTGATTATATCCACAGACTGTTGTCACACAACTGTGTTTAAACCTTTTATAAAAGTGATTTTTGCATAATGTTGTCTTTAATATATAAATTACATAAAAAATTGTAACACTTTATAAGTTGCTAAATTAAATTAAAAAAGTATTGCCTAAAATAAATTTGTATGTCATTCACACATTGAAACTACGAGGGGAAATGGCAAATGTATGTTATATAATTCAATTTTTGTTTCGCAAACAGAATTTGTTCGTATTGCAATGGTCTGTTTTTGCAAATGTATGCAAGTTTTAGTGCAGAAATACATTGCGGGTTTGGTTTAAATCTGGAAATACATTGCAGTTTTGCATATTACATTTCAACTGAACTGTGCTTTATGCTTCCATATTTAATATTCAGTTATACTGCATTATATTTTTGACTGGACTAGCACTGTCAGATGAGAAAAACAGAACTGAACTGAGCTAAAAGAAGATGTCATGGTCTTCTGCAGAGCAGCTTTATAGCTGAATCAAGCTTGTTTTATAATTGATGCAATTTTGAATCAACTTTACATTGACTGGAGCTGAATAATTATTGTATTGTATTATGTTAATGGGTAATTATGAAACATTTCACAACTGATTAACTTATATTATAGTATTGATATAACTTGAATCAACATTGAAGGCTGAAGCATAAGTTCTGTGATTGGTCGGCTGCATGTTTACAAGTGTGCAGTCCTGTGAAGAAGCTCCGGATGGAGACTGTTGTTTTGTGTTCACCTTGTAATTAAAGTTGTTGCCCGTGCACTGATTCCCACCTCAAAATGAGCGAGTTTGGGCCACTTGTACTATAAGGTATCGCTCAGGAAAAAACCCATGAACAAACCCGACACAGAGAAACACCTACTGCCAACTAGCATTTCTGAAGTGTTACTGCAGAGCAACACAAATAGGGCGCAGAAGTATAAATGCACAGCTACAGCCGTTGCATGCGCCGTGGGTCACACCGATTACTTAATGCAGAAGTATAAATCAGGCTTCAGTTAATAGATTATTATCTTAGAATATCATCTTAAATTTGCTTATTTTTATGCTTTTATTTAAACAATATGTATTGCATTAAGCTCTGTATTAATAAAGTTGACTTTTGAACAGGGTGAAAAGGGTGACATGGGCACAGAAGGTGAGCAGGGGGTCAGAGGTGACCCTGGAATTAAGGGGAAAGACGGGCCACCGGGCGACCCTGGACTTACTGGAGTCAGAGTGAGTGATGCAACATATTGCTTTTTATTTTACTTTATAAATTTGTGTTCAAAATAATAGGAGTGTGTTGGAATAAAAAATTTAGTAAAGCTCAAAATATATATAATAATATAATTTTTTTAATGCATGCAGAAAAGATCGGGAATATGAATATACAATAAAAATGTAATAAATATATAATAAATATAATAAAAATATAATAATAAAATATAATATAATAAAAATTATTATAAGGATTTTGAACACAACTGTTTATACACACAATGTGCATGATGCATGTAGAGTTTAGGATTGGTAAAATAAGCCAACAATAGAGTGATATTCGACTCTTAAACCCACCAAAAACAAAAGATATGTCAGTCTTTAGTGGATATGAACATTTTGAAATGATACACATATTTTGCAAAATTCTGTAAGGTAAACTGCTTTACAATAAAAACCCACACATTAAAAATAGAAATGTTATAATTGTACAAATACAAATAATGTTTTATGGAATATTATAAGTCTCAAAAAGCATTTTATGATGTTATTGAATGCTGTTATAGTATTTTCTGATTCTTTCCTTATATTTCTATTTTTTTGTTTATATTTTGGTATTTTGATGTCATTCTTGTACATTATTATTTAGCTTTAATCTATTTGAATTTTAATAAATAAACATTTTATGATGTTAGTTCCCAGATATGCATTCTTTAGTAGGATTTTATTTATTTATTTATTTATTTATTTATTTATTTATTTATTTATTTATTTATTTATTTATTTATTTACTTTATTATTTTTATTTATCTGTTTATTTTATTTATTTTTATTTATTTGTATTATTTTATTCCACTTTATGAAAATGTCAACTTATTATCATTTTTATTATCATTTTAATTAACAATAAGAACTCTGTCTTTCCTAGTTTGCAAAATGAATGAATGTAGAATTTTGGTTGATTTATTTATTTATTTATTTTTAATTAAAAAAAAATATATATATATATATTTTATGCCAGTCGTTATGTCCGATATTTGATTGTAAAATTGTGGTAGGTATTTAAAAAACAATTATTTGCATACTGTATTTCAGGGTCCTGAAGGAAAATCTGGTAAAAGTGGCGAGAGAGGGAAACCAGGGCTTAAGGTAAGACATTTGATCTTCTCATTGTTTAGTTTGGTTTAAAATCATCATTAATATCGACGACACTTGCATGCTCCCCTGCAGGGTGCCAAAGGTAACATCGGTCATCTGGGCGAGACGGGAAGTGTGGGAAAGATCGGGCCAATCGGAACCACTGGACCAAAGGGCTCTCGAGGAACTATCGGACATGCGGTAAACACACACAAATGTTCTCATTCAAGTCATTGTGACATGAACATAATCCTTTTTTATTTTTTATATAATACAGCAGGAATTATCAATGCAATAAATGTACTTTCACTTCCACTCCCCCTTCAATGACATCTCTTTTCTGATTGGGTGTAAGGTCTGTCAATCAAATGAGATCCACCAATAGGAAACACCATCTTTATCACACATGTTTTCACACTGATATACAGTTGAAGTCAGAATTATTAACCCTCCTGTGACTTCACTTTTCTTTTTCAAATATTTCCCAAGCGATGTTTAACAAAGCAAGGAAATTTTCACAGTATGTCTGATAATTTTTTTTCTTCTGGAGAAAGTCTTATTTGTCTTATTTCAGCTTGAAGAAAAGCAGTTTTTAATTTTTTTATAACCATTTTAAGGTGAATATTAGCCCCCTTAACCAATATTTGTTTCCGATTGTCTACAGAACAAACCATTGTTGTACAACGACTTGCCTAATTAACCTAACTCTTCTAATTAAGCCTCTATATGCTACTTTAAGCTGAATACTAGTATCTTGAAAATATGTAGTCAAATATTATGTGCTCTGTCATGCCAAATATCAAATAAATCAGCTATTAGAGATGAGTTATTAAAACTGTTATGTTTAGACTTTAACTGTATATCACAATAGGGAGTAACACACCATTGAAAAGTCCATTTAATCCTATATTTCAGTTTAAATGATCAATATGTTAATGACTTTGCTTTAATGTTAACAAAAAAAACTGTCTTGCCATTTTTGTGTGGCTGATCTATTCATGTGATGAGCTAAAAATGGTAATGAAGTTGACTTGTGTGTTTTAGGGTGCTCCTGGGCGTATGGGCTTGCAGGGCGATCCAGGTATATCAGGATATGAGGTGAGAGCAAAAGGCAAATGTAATTATGTTATAATATTAGCACATCAACTATCATTGATTTCCACATCATTAAACAGGTTTATCGTACATTAGAAAGGTACATTAGTACTTTTTTTTTATTTACAGGGTCACAAAGGACCTCAAGGTCCAATTGGACCCCCGGGACCAAAGGGTGCAAAGGTAAAGCATATTTATGACTCTATTTGTTTATAAATGTAGTACTTGAAAGTTTAAACTGAAAAGTGTCATTAATTAACTTTATAGCTTTTTTATTGATATAGTGCCTAATTCAAACGAGTAAAAAGAGCTAATATTTAACCGTATCGTTATATAATATAATTATTGTATAATATAATATTAATACTATTATATATTAAAATATTTCAACTGTTGTGCAATTTAAAGTGTGTCCTGTTCAAGAAATGCTTTTCATTTTATGTCAGTCAGTAGGTTTAATTTATTTGAAATAAATTTTTAGACATTGAGAATGTAATAAAATTTAGTTAGATCGCTTTTTATATATTTTAAGCATGTAAAAATAAGTTATAGATTTAATTTTCACATAAACATGTCTGTTATGCTGACATCTTTATTGCATTTTATATGCTTAATAAGTGTAAAATAACCTTTGTAATTTTTAATAAAATGTAATTTTATACGGACACCAAAATGGGACAATGTGTTTATAGTTATTTATTTATTTTTATTTATTTAAAATTTTTATTATACAATTGTATCATAATGTACAATAATTACTTATTCATGTATTTATATTTTATGCATTTGCATATTTTAGTAATGCATTTGCATATTTTAGCTAATTATATAATTAAAATGTTTATAAATTAATTAAAACAATTAATTAATGTAATTATTATTTGTTTACAATTATATGTAAATATTCATATTTAATTTTTATTTTTTGTTTTTAATTTATATTTATGTTTGTCAATTTATTTATTATCATTATATAGTTTATTCATTTTATATACTTAATGTGTATAACATTATAATATACAACAATTACTTATTTATTTACATTTTATGCATTTGCATATTTTAGTAAGTTATATAATAAAAATGTTCATAAATTAATTAAACAACATAATTAATAGAAAGCATGAAATAATTGTACGTTATTTTTATATATGTAATTGTTCATATTTAATTTAATTGTTTATCTTTAATATTTATATTTATCTATTGATTTATTATCATTATATAATTTATTCATTTTATTTGCTTATTAAGTGTCTAAAATAACCTTTATGTAAATATAATTTTATACAGACATCAAAATAGGACGTGTTCAATGTGTGTATAGTTATTTATTTATTTATATTTTTTATTATACAATAACATTATAATATGCAATAATTACTTATTCATTTATTTATATTTTCTGCATTTGCATATTTTAGTGAATTGTATAATGAAAATGTTCATAAATTAATCAAAAACATAACAGTTTATTAAAAACATGAAATAATTATCCATTATTTATATATTATGTAATTGTGCATATGTAACTTAATAGTTTTTTTATTGATATTGTTATTTATTCATTTATTTATTTAATTATCATCATTATATAGTTTATACATATTTTATTTGTTAATTAAGTGAATAAAGTAATCTTTTTTATAAACGGAGTTTTACAATGTGTTTATATTTATTTATTTATGTGTTTTTTTAGACAGACAACATTTAATTATATATTTCTAGTTTGTTAATAAACTACAACTTTATTTAAGATACATTTATTATACTTTGTTTATGTTAAAAAAGCTAATAATAAAATAAAAAGCAGAGGCATAATAAAACAGCATATAAAGAAATACAATAAGAGTAATTTAATTATACAGGTAAGTAAAATAAAATCATTACATTTTTGTTTTATTATTATTTTGTATTAATCAATAAAAGTAGAATTGTTAATCGTTTATCTGATGTTTTGGATTGTTTAATGTTCTAGGGTGAACAGGGGGATGATGGGAAGGTGGAGGGTCCAACCGGTGCACCGGGTCTCAGAGTGAGTCTCTTGTTTTCGTTTTTATATCTGTCTGTGATTTCCTCTAAATTCATTAGCGATTTTCACAACTTTATGTTTGTTGTTTTATGTATTTTCAGGGTCCCGTTGGAAAGCGGGGAGACAGGGGTGAGCCAGGAGACCCAGGATATGTGGTGAGATAAACACAGCTGCCCACAGTGCATACTATTGTCTTTCTGCATATGAAGAATATTAGCTCATTTACTTGTGCACAGCAACTGACTGTTTCCTATATTATATTGACAATCGCCAACTGGGCTTAAAATGTCTTTAACTGAGTAAAGATTTTTAAAAATATGTTATCGATTGCATCCTGATAAAGACTTTTCGGACAGTTTTGATGTTAGATGAAAATATCCTCCAGCAGAAATGTGGTTCGAGTAGAGATGTGTTCACTTTTATAGATAAACCATAGATATTTGCAGAAAAAAAGTTGTGCCTTATTATTTGTGATGATAGCTAAGGCAATGGTAAAAATGGGTCATGTTTATAGTTAGGACTTTATTTAAATTAAAGATTTAGTCAAACATAATAAGGTTTCAGTAGGTAACTGCGTTCATTAACATGCACTATGAAAAATACTATTTCTGCAGCATTTATTGACCTTACATGATTTTGATATCTACAGTAAATAGATTTTTAAAATCTTATCACATGTAAAGCATTTTTATTAACGTTAATAATTGCGTTGTGAACTAACATGAACAGTAAATTAAAAATATATTTGAGCGTTTTATTCAGTAAAATGAGGGTTGTGTGATGACAAAAAAGAGATCTTTATTTATATTTTGCTTTGTGTTTTTGTGCTGGTACCAGTAGATGGCAGCAAATCCCTGTTTTATTGAGTGATTCACTGAATCATTTATTCAAACGATTCATTGTAAGTGGCTAATTCGTTTAGAAGCAAAGCATGTGACTTCATATATGAGTGAATGACTGAGTCATTGACTGTAATGATTTGTTCAAAAAACAATGAAGTCAGGAACGGAATGGATTAGTGCATGAGGCTTTGTTTAAAACTATTTTCATTGGTAAAATAATAATATTAATAATAATAATAATAATAATAGTAGTAGTAATAATAATAATAATAATAATAATGATAATAATAATAATAATAATAAGGCTTCTAAATATCAATAAATCAATCTTAACTTCTTTTAAATCAGTTGTATAAAACCATAGTTTTATACCATAAGCACAAACCAATTGTGCTTATGTCATATTAGTGAATGACATCATATCTTATAAATATAAAAACATATCCCTTTATTGATTTAATTTTTCTTAATAAATTTTAACTTGTAATTATATTAAAGCTTATGTCAACTGCATTCCAAAAGTCAGATAAATACATAAATAAATTTTAATTAAGTGCCCTCAGATATCCTGACTCTGGTTAAATGTGCACATTATTATCTATTTTATTGATTACTTGTTTATTTATTTTTTAATATTTAAAATTTTTATTATGATTATAACATATATATATATATATATATTTATTTATTTATTTATTTTCTTTTTTTATAATAGTATTAATATTATATTATACTATAATTATATTATATAACAATACGGTTATATATTAGCTTTTTTTATTATTAGCCCCTTTAATCTATGTTTTTTTCAATAGTCTACAGAACAAACCATCATTATAGAATGACTTGCCTAATTACCCTAACCTGCCTAGTTAACCTTATTAACCTAGTTAAGCCTTTAAATATCACTTTAAGCTGTATAGAAGTGTCTTGAAAAACATCTAGTCAAATATTATTTACTGTCATCATGGCAAAGATAAAATAAATCAGATATTAGAAATTAAAACTATTATGTTTAGAAATGTGTTGAAATAAACAGGGCAGCTTATAATTCAGGGGGGCTAATAATTCTGAACTCAACTGTGTATATATAATTGCTAATGTTTATGTAGTTTATTCTAGCTTTGTTCCTAGTAAACTTCAGCACTTTGTTTACTTTTGTATACTTTACACATAAATCATTATAAACATATTTAAGGTTTTATATTTTCTGTGCTATACAATAATAATAATAATAATAATAATAATAATAAGAAGAAGAAGAAGAAGAAGAAAAAGAAGAAGAACAATATGTATTATTTATATAATTTTCAAAAATAATATTACATTAAAGCCTATTTAAACCGCATTCTAACAGGCTTCACAGATTCCTAAAGATTATAGTTTTTATATTGTTTTGTGTGCATTTGCAGGGTCAGCAAGGTATTGATGGTTTACGTGGAAAACCTGGAGCTCCTGGACTGCCTGTGTGTATAATATCATATTAGAACATGATTTCCGACATAGCTGCACTCCAGTGCACAAAAAAATGTTGTATTTAAATGTATTTTTAGGGCGATCCTGGTCCACGTGGAACACAAGGCCCTAAGGGATCCAAAGGAGAACAGGTAACGCCACGCTATGCTCATATGTGTGTTATCAAGTGTGCGTAGGTTTTGTAGGATTTCAGATTTCATTATTTATGTTTTGGATTGGCAGTCATAAACAACATGTGGTAGAAATCAGAGCCATGTCACATACTTCAGTAAGATGAGTTAGTACATGTGTGTGTACGTTCACGCTGTATACGATTAGTTCTTGGCGTTACGTCTTTTTCTCACATGCTTTCTGTTATTGTCTGTCATTTTCTCTCTTTCTCAAAGGGTCAGAAGGGTAAACAGGGTCAGCAGGGAGAGCGTGGCAGCAGAGGATCACCGGTAAGAGGACAAAACACTCAGAAATGTGATTAAAAATAAATATTCTAAAATAATTTGTATAGGGAGAAGAAATATGAATCTATATTCAAATTTCAAAGACAAAAACTAGAGCAAAACCATCTGCCAAATTAAGAAATATGTGCATAATTAATATAAACGTAAATGACAATTGTGGAATTTAAGCACTCTCAGTGTCATTACTTTACAGCAAAAAGAAATGTACACATTATATCATTATGTTATGCATTAACATTATAATATACAATAATTACTTATTTATATTTTCTGCATTTGCATATTTTTGCGAATTATATAATTAAAATGTTTATAAATTAAATAAAACACAACATAATTGATAAAAACATGAAATAATTATGCATTATTTATATATATTTACAACAGTTCTGTCTGGTTCTTGAATCTGATTGGCTGATAGCCGTGATATATTTCAGTAATATCAGCACCCATACAGCTTCTTTGCTCTTTGTGTATTACTCCGCCCACATACAACGAGTAAAAAGCAGACACTACAGATCTAAAGTTTAAAAGATGCTTGCTCAGCTGTTTAACTGTCAGCTTATGATTTGAGGCGGAATAAATTAGTTCCTTATACAAAAGGGTTTTGTTTTTATATACATAATTATGCCCTCAAACTGTTGTATAAACGCAATATCACACTCGTAGCAGTGCGATATGGCTGTATATCGGCTCTGGTGTGGGCATATATATATATATATATATATATATATATATATATATATATATATATATATGACAATATTCATTCTTGGCGAGGGTGTGGGGGGTTTGTATTCACCCATCCCCAGTCCCCACCAATGTCAAGCGCAAACCTACGCCCTTGTAATGGATCAAAGTGAACAAAATCTTTACTTCCTAAAAAAACTGGCACCAAATAATAACATAAAAAACATACCAGTGCGATATGGCTGTAAATCGGCACTGGTGGGGGCACTAAGCACACACTAAGCAACGCACGCCTCCCACCAGTGCCGATATACAGCCATATCCCACTGCTACGAGTGTGATATTGCGTTTATTGCATTTGTGTGTGTGTGTGTGTGTGTTTGTGTGTAATTGTAAATTATTTCATTTTTAATTTATAAATTATATATATATATATATATATATATATGAGCAATATCACACGAGTAGTAGTGCGATATTTATTTCAGTAAGGTATTTTGTATAAAATCATCTTCCAGATAAATAAATAGATAATACCAAATGGCCCTTTTTTGTTATATAATAATAATAATTAATATTATTATTATTATTATTATTTAAAAATATGCAAGTATGCATGCTTATCTGCATATAGCTTTTTATGTTATTTATTAGTTATTCAAAGTAAAATAAATTTTTAAATAATGTTGTTAATATTTTTAGTTGGTGGGTCATTCCGCTGTGGCGACCTCTGAAGTAAATGAATGAATTAAATAATTTTTTATAATGTATTTTCATTTATTTTGTGGTGAAATTACATTTTTGCTTTACATATATCACCCTAGTACAATTTAATAGGATTCCCACATTTGTATCTTTCCCTTTTGCTTAAACATCCCTTTCTGTCTGTCTTCTCCTCAGGGTGTTGTTGGGTTGCCAGGTCCTCGAGGTACTGTGGGACGAGAAGGACGAGAGGGTTTTCCTGGTACAGATGGACTTGCTGGAAAGGATGGAAGCAGAGGAACACCTGTAAGAGTTCATCAGCAAACCTGTGATTCCTGATCTATGGTCTGAACAGTATTTCTTACAGATTCTCTCTCTCCTTCAGGGCGATCAGGGAGATGATGGAGAGTTCGGTTTGCCTGGTAAACCTGGTGCACCTGGAAAAGTTGGCGTCATCGGTTTACCAGGCCCACAGGGGTCATTCGGTCCAAAGGTCAGAATTACATTTCACCAAATTTATAACCTTTTAAATTCATGTTTCCTAAAAGTATTTATTTTAAAATGGCAAGGTTAGAAAATAGGATATTATAATTATTATAACATTTATATGTACTTTTATATGGTTTTTAATATTATACAAAAAAGCACAAAATAATGTCAGATCAAATGTTTTTTGCTATAATAATTTAAATATGAATGAATGCGCAATGTCCTCCTGTGAATTTTTCTTTCCAAAATATTCAAATATTTCCCAAGTGCTGTTTAACCAAGCATGAACATTTTCACAGTATTTCCTTGTATGATGTATCTTCTAGAGGTAGTCTTATTGCTTTTAGTTTGGCTGGAATAAAATCCGCTTTTTACTTTTTATTTTTTTTTATTTTAAGTTAATATTGTTAGCCATCTTTAGAAATGTATTGTTTTTAAATGTCTACAGAACAAACCACTGTTGTCCAATAACTTTCCTAGTTAACCTAATTAATCTAGTTAAGACTTTAAATCACACTTTAATGTAAATACTAGAATCTTGCACAATAACTAATAAAATATTATTTACTGTCATCATGGAAAACACAAAGGAATTTAGTTATTAGGAGCTAGTTATTAAAGCTATTAAGTTTAACGATATGTTTAAAAAATCTTTTCTTTGTTAAACATCACTTGGGAATTGCTTGGAAAAAATAAAAAACAAATAAACATTTATATATACAGTTGAAGTCAGAATTATTAGCCCTCCTCTGAATTTTTTTTCAGAGGAAATTGCCTAATTACCCTAACCTGCCTAGTTAACCTAATGAACCTAGTCAAGCCTTTAAATGTCACTTTAAGCTGTATAGAAGTGTCTTGAAAAAAATCTCAATATTCAAATATTATTTACTGTCATCATGGCAAAAAAATAAATCAGTTATTAGAAATGAGTTAATAAAACTATTATGATTAGAAATGTGCTGAAAAAAAAATCTTCCCTCCGTTAAACAGAAATTGGGGGAAAAAATAAACAGGGGGGCTAATAATTCTGACTTCAACTGTATATACATATATACATATATATTAATATATAACTAAAATATCTCACCTGAAATTAAATTTTATTCTGTTGCAATTTTTTTAATCACACTTTAATATATATGTATATATATATATATATATATATAAAATTTATTCATTTTTTTGGGGGGGGGGGGGGGTTCATATCCATATTATAAGGCATTGTTATTAGAAGTTGTTGAAGTTATTATATTATATTATTTTATATAAAAACATTTAAATAAATAGAATATAATTTAAAAATACATCGATTTTAAATGTTTTTTTTTTTCCTATTTATAAAATGTTTATATTTAAAATGACAAAAACTCGAAATATAACAAAATATAGTTAAATATGTCTATATAGTATGATCTTATACATCATGCAAATACTGCTTCATGTTGATGTGCTGATGTATTTAGGGTGAGCGAGGTCTCCCTGGTCACCCCGGCCCTTCAGGAAAGAGAGGATTTAAGGGAGGAATGGGTCTTCCTGGACCTCAGGGAGACCGGGGATCTAAAGGCCAACCTGTGAGTACCACACACGCGTATATACACACATGTTGATTTTGGTAGTTTACAAGTAGGATATGTATGGTTTTAGCATCAATATAAATATGTGCAAATTTGTAAAAGTCCAATTTCAAGACAATTTAAACTATTTGGACACAAGAATATAGATTTTCTTCAATCCAACAAAGATTTATTGGGTTATCGATAAAGATATACCATGTTATTATTGAATTTCTGTACGTTAATACTGTTAAACTCCACCAAATACCATCAAGCGTTTATTTCATTTATATGTGTCTTCTATTGTGATCCTCTGTGCTTTAATTTTTATTCTTACTTATTTTTTATTATTATTTTGTAGATTTTATGCAGATGCACTCGCCCCAAAAATAATCCCAATCAATGTAATATTATGAATTCTTTCCAAACAGAGCCATCTACATATCGCTATATACAACTAAATATTGCAATGTCAGGTTTTTACAATATCGTGCAGCCCTATTTAAAGTGCCGTTTATTTCATTTTCATATGTCTCCTATTGTTTTCATTGTTTTCCTATTGCATGTATTTCTTTTTATCATTTTTGTAGATTTTATGTATATCCACTCTTCCAAAAATCATCCCAATCAATGTAAAACTATGAGTTCTTTCCAAAGAGAGTCATGTTCATATCGCAACATATAACTAAATATTGCAATGTCAGTTTTGTACAAACTCATGCAGCCCTATTTACGAGGATTGTCCATAGGCTTAGTGTATTTTATACCGCTTATTATATGGCCTTGCTCCCAAACCCAACCATGACAGGAAGTCTGTGGCAAAATTTGAATGTGAAAAGACCCTGTTAGGCATGACTTTAACCATTTTCATAATGTCCTCATAAACCACCTAGGTCAGTGGTTCCCAACCTTTTTGTGCCTGAGACCCCCTTTTCCCCCAGAAAATATTGTAAGGCCCCCCTCAACATTTAATGATATTATCACTCATATAAGTTTGCCGTAAGGATGACAAAATATGTTGTTTTTAAACTAACGGTATGTTTATTACTATAGCTAGATATGTTTATGCACAAATAATAGCCTAATGTAAAATATAAAAGCTAAACATCAGTAGGCCATTTTTTTACTGAATAATGTAAGGCTTTGGCTTTTAAATTGGCCATATATTAGTTGCCAAGTTTTTAAAATTTTCCTGTCAGTAGCTGTGACGTCTCTCACCTCATGTTATTAATTAATTTGGTCAGCCTCATGCATCCGTTAGCAAGAATTTTTGCGCAGAGAATGCACTGTGGCTGGGTCAGGGACTTTTTGCTTTGAGAAAATGGAATAAAACCATAGTTTAGGTAGCTATCTTGGTATTTGTGTTTACAGTATTGCTAGCGCTGCGACCCGAAATGTTTGTAGATTTCTCACCTGGGTCCAGCATGCTTAGGTCATTGGTAGGGATGTAACGGTATCAGAATTTCACGGTACGATAATACCTCGGTATAAATGGGACGGTACGGTATTTATTGAATAATTTACAGGAAAAATAAAACTAATGAAAAGACTCGAAAAAAGTGCCAAAAGTGTTTATTTACCTTAGCACTGAACATATCAATGACATACAAATTAGCCATCTATCTGTAATTTCGAAACAGAAACTTAAATTTTTCAATTTTAATAACAAAAAACTATTAAACCACATTAAAAAAAAAATAAAGTTTCAATTTAGTATTGTTGAAAACTCATCACACTCAACATTTAATCACTCACTCACTTGGATAGAGATGGGTTTTCTAAGGAAAATTATCACATAACTATAATCTGGTAAAAGCTGGGATCTCTGGGCATGTCCCCTGCAACAGAAAAAAAAACCCCTCTTATTTGGGAGTGAGGTTTCTGGGACAGAGAGATATGATTTAGCCAAGGTTGACAGCAGTGGGTAACGTTTAGCATTGTCTTTCCACCACTGGAGAGGACAAGCCATGAGTGAGATAGAGGTCTCTTTGCGGTACAAGTCAATAGCCCCTTTCACACATACAGACCTTTCTGGAAAATTACCCGCAATTTTCCGGAAAGGTTGTATGTGTGAACAGGTCCTTTTTGAAAATACCGGTAAATTCGTTCTGGCTATTTTCCGGAAAGAGAAGTTGTAACATTACCGGCAATTTGCCGGAATGCTGAGCTGTGTGAATGCAGAAGGAAGATTTCCGGAATAAGCGCGTGCACGTCTAGAACGTGCTGACGTAAGACGTCAGCTTTAGCCAATCAGAACAGTCAGACGCATTTACGTCCGCGCGGTTTATGAGAATAAAAGCCTTTGAATATTTTTCCAGACACATTTAGCTGCTAGAAGTTAGTCAGATCACGTTTATATGTTCTAATGTGTAAATAATCATCGATAAGATGCTTATGATAAGCCGTTGTTTGTTTACCTTCAAGCTTTGCGTGTGCCTGTGAAACAGCCTGTGAGCGCCTGCACACGCACATATTATGAACATCTCGACATGCGAAAGTGATCCTGCGAAAGTTGTTCACAATATTGATCATCCACAGAGTTTGTAATGTAGTCAAATGTTTACAAATACAAGCGCAGCCGTTTAAAGCTCATTTGTGGTGAATGATGTCAGAATTTACCGGTATTTTGGAATGGATGTGTGAATGCTCTTTTCCGGAAAATTTCCGTAATGTCCTCGCCTGTGTGAACAGCGCTTTTTTGAATATACCGGTAAAGTCGTTCCGTAAATTTTCCGGATATTTACCGGTATCACTGTGTGAAAGGGGCTAATGTCTGCATCAATCTAACAAGTGTGCTGTGTTCTGCAGTCCCCATGACTGTTTTTAGTCGTATTCCCCGACTTATATTTCACCACAGTCTGGCAGTGCCTGCATACTGTTTTTTTTTCTTTATCTGTCACCTTTTCTCCTTTTTTGTATCTTTTTAGAGAGAAACCGAAATGCTTTCACACATCCGATGTAAAACCCGCTTTAGGTTCGATCATTTCCAGCTCTTTTTCTTCCCCGCTACTAGCAACACACTCCATTTCCGCATTACTGGATCTGTAGTAACAACAGACCGCAAAGGATGATGGCCACGCCTAGGCTGATGGGAATTGTAGTTCCCGCTACCTCCCGTCTGCTTCATTCGCCTGAGCAAACTTTTCTCAGAAATATAGTTTTATTGAGTCATGCGTCTACGGCAATATTGAAAAAATTTACTATTGCGGTATGACAGTATTTACAATATTGTTACATCCCTAGTCATTGGTATTAGCTGCTGAAGGCAAATCAGTGAGACTCGATCTTTTTTTGTGGAGGACGTATTGCAAATTAGTCCATTTTTTTTTTTTTTGGTAAGCTAGAGGATAAAATGAACTAAGGCAACATGATCGTTCTCCTAATTGCCCACTGCTAAAAATTTTTTAAAATATGAAGTAACCCCCCACAGAGCTAGCTGAGGCCCCCTAGTAGGTCAGGACCCCCCTGTTGTAACCGCTGACCTAGGTCATACCCATGTGATTATGCAAATTTCTGTCCTCATAATCCCCTAAAACCTGTAAACAAACACACACTATTAATTCAATTTAATTCAAGTTTATTTGTAAAGCGCTTTTTACAATAACTATTGTTTCAAAGCAGCCAGGGCCAGCGCGTCCATTGAGGCAACGTAGGTGACCGCCTAGGGCGGCAGAATAGAAAGGGCGGCGTCCGTGACAGTTATGTCCGCGATACCTCCCTCACCCTCCCGTCGTCTCAGTTATGTCCACGATACCTCTCTCACACCCCGCCGCCTCAGTTATGTCCACGCCTAGGGCGGCTAAATGAAGAAGGTGGCGTCCGCGACACCTCCCTCAACACCCGCGCCCTCAGTTATGTCCGCGAAATCAATTTGATAACCGGTCACTTCGGTTTTCACTTTCGGGTTGAGGGCGGCATGATGGTCCTTTGCCTAGAGCGGCAGTTCAGCTTGCTCCGGCCCTGAAAGCAGCTTTACAAATGTGCACACTACTGCATTACAATCAAATTCAGTTAGTTAGCATGACTTTATTAGTTAGTACTAACTTAAATAATTAACTAGTAACTAATAGCTTTTTACATTTAAAGTTATTGTATATAAGTTAACCTGCAGTTATATATATATAGGTGATGTCTGTGTGTACATGTTCGATGAAGTGTATTAAGTGTATGTGTTGTCCTCGAAAACGCTATTAACACTGCTATTATTCACCATTGACTCACATACACACTGTATCCTGCTTACTAAAGACCCAGACTTTTTGTGAGCAAAGCATTAATAGTAATCTTTGATTTAGGGTGACATCGGGGAACCCGGCTTTCCAGGAATGCTGGGAATGTTTGGACCAAAGGTGAGTTTTTTTCAGCCTTTGCCAGACATTCATTCATTCATTTTCTTTTAGCTTAGTTGCTGATTTATCAGTGGTCGCCACAGCGGAATGAATCACCAACTCATCCAGCATGTGTTTTACACAGCAGATGCCCTTCCAGCTGCAACCCAGTACTGGGAAACATGCATACACACTCATTTATACACACAAACGACTGCCAATGTAGTCTACCCAATTCACCTATAGTGCTAGTGTTTGGACTGTGGGGGAAACCGGAGCACCCGGAGGAAGCCCACTGCAACACTGAGAGAACATGCAAGCTCGGCACAGAAATGCCTACTGACCCAGCTAGGACTGGAACCTGCGACCTTCTTGCTGTGAGGTGACAGTGCTAACCACTGAGCCACCGTGCTCTCCCCTATTGTCAGACAGTATCTGATTTTAAAAGTGAAAAACAGAAGTGTGTGTGTGTGTGTGTGTGTGTGTGTGTGTGTGTGTGTGTGTGTGTGTGTGTGTGTGTGTGTGTGTGTGTGTGTGTGTGTGTGTGTGTGTGTGTGTCAGCCCACGAGAAACAAACACAAGACTAGATTAATCATTTCGGAAAGTGTATCTTCCTCTGGGACGTGTGTTTTCCTCCACACACTCAAAGAGCCTCATAATTCACACTAACAGAGGTGTGTTTTTGTCAAGAGGCGAGATGTTTTTCACAAAACCCGCAGTCAAGAGCTCATAAAACAGGACAAGCATGTGTGGTTGTGGTGTCACTGTGCTCTCCTAATTCATGCAGACTCAAACTAGAAGAACTCGAGTGGAAAAATGAAGCCCACCGGTGGTCAGTGGTCTGACAGTGAGGAATAGCCACATGTTTTCATGCTGTCTGTGGTGTCTGAATGTTCCGCTTCATTGACTCTCTTCTCTAGAGTTCTTCATAACACACACACGCACACACATTAAACCTGATGTTGGGTTCGACACAGCTGTGTATTTGTGTGTTGTTTGTGAAAGCTTTTCCGGTTGTTTGTTCAGGGGCCTCCTGGAGACTTTGGACCAAAGGGGATTCTGGGACCCAAAGGACCCCAAGGCAACATGGTGAGAAAACAAGCATCCATCTACCTGTCTGTCTGTCTGTCTATCCATCTATCCATCCATCCATCAATCCATCCATCCATCCATCCATCCATCCATCCATCCATCCATCCATCATCTATCTATCCATCCATCCATCCATCCATCCATCCATCCATCCATCCATCCATCCATCCATCTATTGTTCCACCTATCCATCCATCCATCCATCCATCCATCCATCATCCATCATCTATCCATCATCCATCCATCATCATCCATCCATCCATCCATCATCTCATCTTCTTCTTCTTCTATCTATCTATCTATCTATCTATCTATCTATCTATCTATCATCTATCTCATCTATCTATCTATCTATCTATCTATCCATCCATCCATCTATCCATCATCTATTCATCCATCCATCCATCCATCCATCTATTGTTCTATCCATCCATCAATCTGTCCGTCCGTCCGTCTCTCTGTCTGTCTGTATGTCTGTCTGTCTGTCTATCTATCTATCTATCTATCTATCTATCTATCTATCTATCTATCTATCTATCTATCTATCTATCTATCTATCTATCTATCTATCTATCTATCTATCTATCTATCATCTGTCTATACATTCATCCATCCATCTTTCTGTTTATCCTTCTAAAGCAGTTTTTAAACGATCGACAGCGTATAGATCATCATAGAAACAAAGCTGTTATGTTGTTATATCTGCGTGTTGTCTTCAGGGCAGAGGTGGTTTAGCTGGACCTGTCGGTGTGATCGGCCCTATTGGTAATCCAGTGAGTAAATGATTCTGCACACAGCAATAGTGAACACTGTAGCTATGTTTTCATTTAAAGATGTAAATTAGATTTATGTGCAAAACTGGAATATCATGTAAAAAATTTACGAATAAAGCAAAGTTTTCATCTAATGGGTCAAAGTGAAATAAATCTTTTTCTTACTGATAAACTGGCACCAAATAATAATATCAAAAAGAATTTTGCTGTAGCAGGAGAAGCCACTGTGGGTCTTTTTTTTTTTTTTTTTTTTTTACATATAGTACATGAGTTGTGCCTTATAAGAGAAAACGCAATAAATGCACTGTGGCTTTTGGAGGTGTGAGACGCTCTTTGTGAGTGCAGATGCTCAAGACAGTTCTGGTGGTAATAATAATAATAATAATAATACTGAACCATTGTGATGACAGACTTTGGCTGAGGAATTTTAGAAAGACCAAAACAAGATTTTAGATGCTTTGCAATGTGCTCGAAATGCTGGTTTGTCCATTAAATGACGTCCCATCACACATTTTTCTTATCACATAATCAGTTAAAGCAAAATCACATGACTTTGTTGATGTGCAAACAGCAATTTACTCAGTAAGTGTGTTTCCATTGTAGATTATGCACATTTATCAGTTTTTTAATCACAGTTTTCACACACATTTCTATTAAGCTCATTTTTTATTCGATATTCCAAAATGCTCAAAAATTGGTGAATGGAAACATTAGCTACTGATCCTGGCTCTGCTGGCTATGTTCTCACACTGATGTCTCTATACAGGGCTCAAGAGGAGAGACAGGCAACAAAGGAGAGCTGGTGAGAGATGAATCTGCTCTTTCTCTCCACTCATTGATAATTCTGTGGGTTATACGTGTTTCTCATGCACACTTTATTTCCTCACAGGGTGTTCAGGGTCCTCGAGTGAGTCTTTACGGTCACAGCATTACAGATCATCCATTCATTATTATATTATTTTTACTTTAAGGTTACTTGTGTGTTTCTGACTAATTTATTTGTGTTATTCAGGGTGCTCCTGGACCACGTGGACCTCCTGGACCTCCGGTAAAGCTTCTTTAAATTTGTTTAGTTTTTTTTTATTTTTAATTTCCCATATTTTTATTTAATGGTTAAAGAATAACCAATTAAGATATGCATTAAATGGATAGTCCTCCCAAAAATGAAAATTCTGTCATCCGTTATTCATCCTCCGCTTGTTTTAAGTTCTGTTTTTCTGTTGAACACAAAACAAGATATTTTGAAGAATGTTGGGATAAAACAGACATTGGCTTTCATAGTGTTTTTTCTTCCTACTATGGAGGTCAATGGCTGTTTTTTTCCAACATTCTTCAGAATACGTTGTTTTGTGTTCAACAAATTCCTAAAAGTCTCAAACAGTTAGACATGTTTGGCGTAATTTGTTGCTAATTTCAGACCGTTCACCCTGTTTTGCGCCACGTTGTTTAAATAGCGATCCATTTGTGCCTTTTTGTGGACTCATGGGTGTGCCGGTCTAGAAAGGAGGTGTGTTAAGGCGCATTGTTGTCGCATTGCTATTTTGAGGAACTAAAATAGATCATGCAATAGACCAGCTTAAAACAGGTCTAAAGTCGCTTTAGTTATGCGCATTAAACATGTAAACATCGCTTAACACACACAGGATGTACAGCAATACGCAAATATCTTTACATTTAAAAATGAATTAAAGGAATAAATTATTAGAAAAAATATTATTTTCTACATAAATATAAAAACCACTGCCTCAATGCTTTTTTTACATCGGGTGGCTTTTTTTTTTTTGTTATTCTTGACAACTTGCTTTTGTTTATTGTTACTATTAGTAATAGTAGTATTTATTATATGCATATTTATTTTTGTTTCATTAAAAACAAGCTGGTGATGCGGTGGTGCTGTAGGTAATGATGTCGCCTCACAGCAAGTAGGTTGCTGGTTCGAGCCTCGTCTGGGTCAGTTGGCATTTCTGTGTGGAGTTTGCATGTTCTCCCCGCGTTTGCGTGGGTTTCCTCTGGGTGCTTCAGTTTTCCCCACAGTCCAAAGACATGTGGTACAGGTGAATTGGGTAGGCTAAATTGTCCATAGTGTATAAGTGTAAATGAGTGTGTATGGGTGTTTCCCAGAGATGGGTTGCAGCTAGAAGGGCATAGGCTGCGTAAAACATGTGCTGAATAAGTTGGCGGTTCATTCCGCTGTGGTGACCCTGGATTAATAAAGGGACTAAGCTGAAAAGAAAGTGAATGAATAAAAACAAGCTTAGTTTTGTCCACCTGTCGGGTTTTCGACCATATGAGGCATATGAAGTTTGTTTGGATATAACTCACACTTCGTTACTATTGTTCATTTATTCGTTTGCTGAAAATTAGAACTGAATTTAGAAACAAAACTTTGTGCTTAACAAACGAAATTAAAAATGTGTAGGCTGATGGATGTCTTCAGTGGAGTGCGTACAACACCGTTTCCTTATCCACGAAAGTAAAGGAGTAAAGAGTGAAAGTAAAGAGGCTGAATGAAGGAGGCTTGTTCTTTATCTTCATGCTGTAGATGATCTGTTTAACTGTTTTCTCGCTAGTAAAGCATTCAGTTTTTCCAATAACACAGTCCACAGATAGCAAATGCAACTTGCCGCAACACAACTGACTCTTAAAGGGAATGAAGGATGAGACTTGGTTTAAAGCACGTTATGCTCAAAACACACCCATGCCTCATTAAGAGAATAAGCACAACCCTGTTAGACCATGCGCTTTGGTGCAGAGCATATTTTTCCATCCGTTCTTAAAATAGCAAAAGTGGATTCGGATGCCCTCAATGTTTTTGCGCTCTGCACTTTAGACTTTGCACCTAGACCGGTAAAATAGAGCCCCTTGAGTGTGAGGAAATGAGGATATTTTCATTTTTTTGGGATCTGTCCTTTTAAAAAAAAATTTTTTAATTGATGATGTCCTCAAATATCCCAATAAGTGAATGCAATTTTATCCTTATTTATATAGTCAAAAAATCTGCCTCATACCAAAGCAGCTCCATCCACAAATAAACATAATATACATATTGCTTGCAATATATATATTTCTGCAGTGTTTAAATAATATCATTAAAAGTCATATATGGTTATGTTTTTTATTTTGTTTACATATTTTGTTTTTCTCTACAGGGCCCTCCGGGAATCCCGCTGGCCATGGTAAAATTTTTGGTCACACTTTACAAAAACCCTTTGTTAGTTAATAACTTGAACTATATACTTGAACAAGACTTGTACAGCAGTTATTAGTTCAACATTGATTAAACTGATGCATTATTCAAATCCAAGTTCATGCTTGTTAACATTAGTTCAATGAGTTAATATGAACGGCTTTGTTTCTGTTAACTGTTATTTGTTCATGTTACTAGACATAAACATTATTAATAATGTATATAATATTACATATGTATATTTATATATAATGTATTAGTAATTTAAAGTAATATTAACCTTATTGTAAAGTGTTACTGAATTAACTTTCATAATTATTATATGATATTTCTATATGAGTTTTTTCCCTTATATTTATTTAACTATTCATTCATTCATTCATTCATTCACACATTTAGTGTTATATTTTGAGCATTTATGTTATTAAATTTGCTTATTTGCTTATTTGCATGTGTGTGTGTGTTGCAGAATCAGGATTTTGGTCTCGGTGTAGTTCAGCCAGTTTTCAGAGAGACTCATACACAGAAAATTGAGGTGAGCTCATTCAAACACACTGTTTCTAATGCTTTATTGGGTGTTTATACGGTGGTATTTGGATGTTCTCTCAGGGTCAGGGTCTGACGAACAAGCCTCGGTGTTCTTGACGTTGCATTGTGCTGTTTGCTGTTTAATTGGGTGTTATTGTGGTGCTTTAAAGGCTGTCTGAATGTTCTCTCAGGGTCGGGGTCTACTGGACATGCCCATGTTGGATCAGGCTCCAGAGATCCTGCGAACGCTTGATTATCTGAGCTCTCTAGTGCACAGCCTGAAGAACCCACTGGGCACACGAGACCATCCCGCTCGACTCTGCAGAGACCTGCATGACTGCCGGGACACGCTTTACGATGGTGCGTATGTGCTGGTTTGGGAGGTTTACAATGACAGAAATTTGTATAATGACATAGGTATTCCAACACTGAGGCGGTTTATGAGGACATGACTTGTGTCCTTGTGATTCAAAATGCTTAAATCATATTTATTGGTATTTTATGACATTAAAACTTTGCCAGGGGTAGCATTTTTACTGTAACAATACATTTGCAAGTGTTTCCCAACCCTGTTCCTCAAGGCACACCAACAGTAATATGCTTTGCCCAATGGTGCAAGAGGAAGGGCTTTAAAGAGCCCATATTATACATGAAATAGGGTCATATCTTGGTTGTAAGGGTCTCCAACAACAGTTTAATATGCATGCAAGGTCAAAAAACACTTTCATGGTCTTATAATCTGCATTTATATTTACCTAATTATCCCAGCGACTCCTGTATGAATCGTCCAGTGATTCATTTGTTCCCAAACCCCTCCTTAGCGCGAAGCTAATCTGCGCTGATTGGACCGATGACAGTCTGTTGCGATTGGTCGACTGCCTTCAGTCAGAGTGAAATGCCAAACAGCTAATCAGCAATATAAAAGTAGTCACAGTTCATACACGCTCGATAGTGTAGGCGTGGATTTTAGCTGCCAGTGGGTCAATGTAAATACAGACGATGGACTTGAAAATTCAGACGACTATTTTATTGAGCAAAAACTGTCGAGGAGATCACATAGCTTGTCTCACTCTGCTCTTTTCACAGACACAAACACACACACATACATTGCCCTCGTCCGCGCACACACACACACCTCCGGGCGACAACGCGTGCACACACACACAAACACACACACACACATACCTCCGGACGACAGCGCACGCACACACACACTACCCTCGTCCACGGAGCTCCGTAAACAAAGCAGCACGCGTCGCGTTTTTAACGTGACTTTGCACGCGATAAGAGAATATAGCCAGTTAACCTGATACAGTACACGCGGTTACAAGTAACAAATCACAACTAAATACATTTGAAAGCTAGAGTCAACAAGGCAACAACTTTAATCGCACGTACTTACACTTGAGAAATGGAGGAAGAAACCCATCCTGACATGTCCAGCAGTAAGTTACTCTTTACTGATCCTTCCTTTAACAAACGCCGATGAAGTATTCTTTGTAGCATGTAGTTTGCACAAGTTTCCAGTAGTTTCCAACTGCTTGGTTATAATGCTGAGGTTTCATCTTTGGGTAGAGACTTGACATAATATCCATCTGCAGTGTGACTTCAATCGACCGGCATGTTTGTGTGTGTGTGTTTGTGTGTGTGTGTCTGGGTTTCTGTGTCAGAGGGCGGGGCCTCAGGTTTGAAATCTCCCGGGTTTGCGCGTGCACGTGAATAACTTGGTTTCGTTCGTACGTCATGGCAAAACACCTAATGACTCGGTATCAAGGCGACTCGTTTGAAGCACTATGAGTCGACTCTTTTATAGATGAATCAACCGTTTTAAACACTGTACTCTTACAGATTTAAGCCTGAGCTGGATACTTCACTTCACTTAGAGCTGTGTTACACAATACACACTACATGGAGGGGAATTTTTTTTAAAAACCCATAATATGGGCTCTTTAAAAGCATTTTTTACTGACCCAAATTCAAGACAACGTTCTTACTAGTGGGGCAGTCAACGTATTGATAAAAATTGTTCAAGGTTTTTTCAAAGAAACATGATTAAAATCACCCATTATAAAATATGGAGCATCAGATTGCATTGCAGTTTCTGAACAACATCTTGTACTGTAGCAGACGCGGCAGCTGCATTACCCTTCGGATGAATGTACAAGATGGTTATAAAATCTGAGGAAACTATTGGCAGATAAAATGGGCGAAGTGAAACAGATAAAAGTTCCACGTCGAAGGTATATATCCTGGAGGCATCCAAAATATGTACCGCTAGTGTGTCTTCGGGAACAGGGTTGGGAAACGCTGGCATAATGTATTGTTACTGTAAGTAATGCTTATTATATAGTCCTACCCCTGGCAAATTGAATGTCATAAAACACCATTAAATATGATTTTTAAGTATTTTGAATTACATCAATGGAGAGTCTTTACTGCATTGCAAAAAATGTGGCCTTCTTGAAGCAAGCTACAAACTTTTACTTTTAGTTTGTGTACAAATGACATCTAGTTTAAAGGGGTAACAGTACTTATTAGTGAGTGTGACTTGTTCAAATGGTTTTGTAAGGGTGAATTCCACATGAAAAACACATGATCATACTTCACCCAAAATGTAGAGGGGGAAAGAGTGTTTTTAGACTGGCATTGTGACATTTTAGCATGAAAGCATGTTTCTGCCAAAAATTCGCAATGCGATATATATATATAAATATATAATAAAATATAATAACTGATTTATTTTATCTTTGCCATGATGAAAGTAAATAATATTTGACTAGATACTTTTCAATACACTTCTATACAGCTTAAAGTGATCTCTAAAGTTTTAACTAGGTTAATTAGGTTAACTGGGCAGGTTAGGGTAATTAGGCAAGTTATTGTATAACAATGGTTTGTTCTGTAGACTATCAAAAAATATATAGCTTAAAGGGGCTAATCATTTTGTCCCTAAAATTGTGCTTAAAAAAACTGCTTTTATTCTAGCAGAAATAAAACAAATAAGACTTTCTCCAGAAGAAAAAATATTATTAGACATACTGTGAAAATTTCCTTGCTCCGTTAAACATCATTTGGGAAATATAAAAAAAGAAGAAAAAAATTCGAAGGGGGCTAATAATTCTGACTTCAACTGTATATATTCAATATATATTCATTCATCCAGGGTCGCCACAGCGAAATAAAAAGCCACCTTGTCCAGCACATGTTTTACGCAGCGGGTGCCCATCCAGCTGCAACCCATCTCTGGGAGACATCCATACACACTTATTTACACCCATACACTACGGACAATTTAGCTTACCAAATTTTGCTTACCCAATTCACCTGTACCGCTTGTCTTTAAACTGTGGGGGGAAACCGGAGCACCCGGAAGAAAAACCCAGGCGAACACGAGAAAAAGATGCATATATATATATATATATATATATATATAATATTATATATTAATAATATTATATTATTTTATTATTATGTATTATATTACTTAAATTTATAAAAAATATTTTACATCTATTGTTTATTATATTATATTATTATTGTCATAATTATTTATTATTAATATAATATATATATATATATATATATATATATATATATATATATACATACAGTTGAAATTATTAGCCCCCCTTTAATATTTCCCCCAATTTCTGTTACAGAGAGCACATTTCTGATCATAATAGTTTTAATAACTCATCTCTAATATCTGATTTTTTTTATCTTTGCCATGATGACAGTAAATAATATTAGACTAGATCTTTTTCAAAACACTTCTATACAGCTTAAAGTGACATTTAAAAGGTTTAACTAGGTTCATTAGGTTAAGTTGGCTACTTAGGGTAATAAGGCAATTTATTGTATAATGATGGTTTGTTCTGTAGACTATTGAGAGAAAGAATGCTTAAAGGGGCTTAAAATGGTTGTTAAAAAATTACAATCTGCTTTTATTTTAGCCGAAATAAAGCAAATAAGACTTTCTCCAGAAGAAAAAATATTGTCAGAATATGCTGTAAAAATGTCCTTGCTCTGTTAAACATCACTTGGGAAATATTTTTAGAAGAAAAAAATCAAAGTGGGGCTAATAATTCTGACTTCAACTGTACATATATACTTAATTAAAACAATATATATACATATGTATGTATGTATGTTATAAGTTTTCATGACGTTTTCAAGAAAACCTTCCAATGATCTTTCATTCATTTCCAATTCATTTTATTTTTTGCTTGTATCAAAAACAGGCATCCATATTTTTTCATTAGTTGCTAATAACTACTAAAAACAAGCAAATAAATCATCCAATATGAAAAGCTAAATGGACAAAAAAGTTTTAAACTATGAAGTTTTTTTTATTTTACTATTATGATCATTAGTTATTACAATGATCACATCTTAGTACAACTATGTGTATATAGGACATTCTACCAGAAACATAAATGATCTGTGCCTGAAATAAAAACATAAATACAGTGAATAAAAAGTGTTTCATCCCTAAACATTTCTAAAATGGTGGAGTATTTCTGTAAGGGAGTGTCTGGTTTTTTTGTAATGTTCATTATGTTTAGTTTTTGCGGTGTGGGCTAACCAATAGAGTTCGCTGTAGTAATGAAGGATTTCCCACTGTCTGATTTCAGTTTACATGTTCTATTTTTGCTCAGTTATTTGTGGTGTGATTTTCATTTTTGCATTTTTTTCAGGCACTTACTGGATCGACCCAAACCTGGGCTGCTCCTCAGACTCTATAGAAGTGATGTGTAATTTCAGCAGTGGCGGACGCACGTGTCTCAGACCCATCACCACGGCGAAGGTCTGTTGTATTCAGAAGATCATCAGAAGCCTACTTCAGAGGGTTTGTTCATCTAAAAAGGTTGATGATCTTGTGGTAATGATGGTGTTTAATGTCCTGTTTAAAGCTGGAGTTCAGTGTTGGACGGGTTCAGATGAACTTCCTGCACCTGCTGAGCGCCGGAGCGGAGCAACGAATCACTATCCACTGCTTGAACGTGACTATCTGGAGCCACGCCCCCAACCAGCCTCCTTCCCAAAATGCAGTTCAGTTCCACTCATGGACCGGAGAGGTGCTGGAGCCGGATGTGTTGGAGGACACCTGCTGGGTGAGCATGAGCTTCAAATAAAGTGCAAAAAATGGCTCTTGATACAACTTTGAAGATTCAAATTCATGATTTGTTTGTCACGTACAGAGTCATACACAGTATGATATGCAGTGAAATGCTTACACAGTAACTCGTGACTTTGAAAAAGTAACAACTGCATGATATTGTAAAAATTTGACAATGCGATGTTTTGTTTTTCTGTGATATACAGTTGAAACCAGAAGTTTACATACACTCTAAAACAGGAACATTACCATTTAACCCCTTCAGACCCTGCGTCCATTACAATGGACATCACATGACATCCCATTTTTCTGAAATTTGGAACATAATTCAGGTCTGAAGGGGTTAAAAAAATGTCTGATAGTAAATCATACTAAGGGCCCTATCATACACCCGGCGCAATGTGGCGCAAGGCGCGGCGCAATACTTGTTTGGTAGTTTCAGCTTGGCGCAAGAGTCGTTTTGAGGCGTTGCGCTACGCTGTTTAAATAGCAAATGCATTAGCGCTCATTTGTGCGCCCATAGGCGTTCTGCTCTAAAAAGGAAGGTGTTCTGAGGCGCACTGATGGCGCGTCGCTATTTTGAGGAACTAAAATAGATTTTTCATTAGACCAAAATAAACCCGGTCAAAACTCCAGCGCAGAGTTGCGCCTCACTTACACACTGCTTAATACACACAAGAGAGCAATAGGCAAATATCTTTACATATGAAAGAAATTAAATATTAAGGATATAACAAGAATATATAGGATATAATAGGATATAAATATAAAGGATTAAAATATTACAAAACATATTATTTTCTAGCCTACATAAATATGAAAAACCACTGCTTTTATGTCTTCTTCATCTCGGGAGGCTTTTTCAGTTCATTCATAACAATTTGCTTTTGTATAATGTTATTATTATTAGCAGTATTATTTATTATATCCATATGTTTATTTGTTTTATTAAAAACATACTTAGATTTGTCCACCTGTCAGGTTTTAGGCTATATGGGGCACAGCATGTGTTTCAGTATATAACTCAGTTTTTAAACACACTTCATTAATATTGTTCATTTATTCGTTTGCTGGAAATAAGAACTGAATTTAGAAATAGTTTTGAAACGAATCTTTGCGCTTAACAAATGAAATTATTTATTTATAAACTAATTGATGTCTGTGCGTAAAGGTTTCCCTATCCAAAAGTGAAAGTAGATCTATTATCTCTCATTCTCACACAGTAGATGCTTTGTTTAACAGTTTTCTGTTAAAACACTGTTAACTGTTAACTGTTTGCTAATGAAATGCTCAGTTTTTCCACTTAGACTTACTTTGCGTCATGTAAATAGCGAATGCATATGCAGCTGGCTCTTAAAGGGAATGGGAGATGAGACTCTAATTGGTTTATTCTCAAAACACACCTATAACTCATTAAGAAAATAAACTCAACCCTTTTAGACCATGCGCCACGGCGCAAAGCGAATTTTCCCGTCCTTAAATTAGCAAAAACGCGCTCTGACACGCCCTGAAAGCGTTTGCGCCCTGCGTATTGCGCTCTGCACATGGACCGTCAAAATAGAGCCCTAAATGTTTACTATTTTAGGTCTGTTAGGATTACCTAAATCATTTATATTTGCTAAATGCCAGAATAATGAGAGAATTTTTTCAAAAACTCTTTTTTCACATTGTCATTATGGGGTATTGTGTGTAGAATGTTGAGGAAACAAATAAATTCAATGCATTTTGGAATAAGGCTGTAACATGCAAGCGTTGATGAAGCGCTATGAATACTTTCCGGATACACTTTAAGTATTTAACCTATTAATTTAAGTCATTTTAATATTTCATATTTGTACATGTTTTCCTCTAATATGTATATTTAATTTCAGCTTTATTTCTGTTAACTACAATGATTTTCAGTGCTTTCAGTAGTTTTAGTCAACACAATTTTAGGCTGTTATAATTTATGATCTTATCACTGATTTTTTTATTCATTTTTTTATTGGTTTAGCAATTGAACGGGCGCTGGCAGCACGCCGACTTCCTGTTCCGGGTGTTGGACCCTGCCTTACTCCCTGTCGTACGCATAAGCAATCTCCCAAAGGTGATGCCCTCATCACGCTTTCACCTTGAAGTCGGACCTGTGTGCTTCCTGTAGAGTGTGTGCGCGCATGTGTGTGTAAGCGAGAGATTATGAGCGACCCACCCACGCCCCGCCCCCTTCAGTATTCAGCCAACAATTGGACTGCAGCAACAGAAAGAGGTAACGTGGGCGGGGCTATTGGGGGGATGTAGCACTAGAGACTCCTACAGTCTGAAGGAAATCCCGCCCCTAGCAGTCATGGATGTCCAATCAGATTTGACTCCTGTAGAAAGCAAGCCAATCATCTCGCAGGGACGAAGACTCAGGACATCCAGGCTGGAGATACTGACAATTCTCTCCGTCTTTCTTCCTTCTGTCTCCTTTCTTTTAGCTTCACTCTCTCTCTCTAATTATTATTAATAATAAGTTATTATGATACTTTTATAATAAGAATCAACAGTTTATTGAAGAGATGAATACAATCATTGGGAGGTATTATATGTACATATACACTTATTGTTTATCTGATATTATTATTATTTTATACGGTCATTTTGTCACATGTAAAGAACAGAAATGCTAAAGTGCAATAGGAAAACACAGAAAAAAGAAGTGATTATTGCTTTTATAAATATATATATAAAGTGTGTGTCTCATTAAGGAAGGTTTTTCAGGGGTGTTGTCATCCAGACATATCATTTTAACACTCCATCAGACAGGGAAGTGTGACTGCGTGTGTGTTTTGTGACTGTGAATGTGTGTGTGTTTATGACGGATCAGTAAACAAGTCTAGTAAACCTACAGACACAGCTCGTCAGCCTGAGGTGCACCTGTCAGTTTAAGAGGGCGTGTCTCAATCAGTGGGTGTGTCTCTATTCAAATTGGGTTTATAGGGGCGGATCACGCAGGAAAACGTGTTTAGGTCATATTTCAGCCAATAGGGGGCGACAAAATAAAATGCATTGTGACATTTTAGCATGGAAGCATTTTTCTGCTAAAAACGAATAACTGCATGATTTTATTACAATTCTGCATCTTTATTTCTTAAAATTTTACCTTTTTTGTTTTATATCAGAATTATTTAAAATAAAGTTTTGGAAAATTTTATGAACTCAAAATTGCTAGTTGAAATTTCTGAACTGAAAGTTGTAAAGACTGACTTGCAAAGTTAATAATAATTCTGAAAATAACCAGAACTTGGAGATATAAACTCCACAATTACAGGGGGAATTCATTAATTAATAAATTATGTTAATTTGAGGTATAATTGTAAATTATATAAGTATAAATTGTGATTTATAATTGTAAATCACATGGTGCAAACTCAGATTGAGAAGAAAAGAAATTACAGAGTTGAAATTGCGAGATATGAACTCAGAAATAAACTTGAAATTGTGATTAAAAAATTTTTTATGACAATAAAATCAGGATTGTGAGGTAAAATTCTAATAACCTTTTCAAATGTCTTAATCCTGTAATAGAAACAGGCCTCCGGATAACTTTGACTACACATTTTTAAAATTAATTTTCTTTTCTTTAATGCAAAACGATCATTTTATAGTTGACGATTGTCACCATTATAGAGAAATGGAAAATTGCTGTGTGCATATTATAACAGTATTTTGCAGGGGGGGAAACTATTTAAATTTAATTAAAATTAAATGCAAAAAGTGGGACTATAATGATTCATTATGCTGATGCAGAATATAAAAAAAAACTTTTAGTTTATAGTCTTTTGTGATTTAAACTTTTTATTGATTTTTTTTTTATTTGCAAATAACGCAGATGAATATCAAATACAGGGCATTAACAAAAACAGAACAATACAAAATAAATAAATCATTAAATCAACATCATATAAGTGATGTTACTCAGTAAATATACTGTTTATAGCAGAGGTGCCAATGCTAATCTTTGGTTGGCCCGCCATCTTATCTGAAAAGAGAAAGAGAATGATGAGGAGATGTTTGGGGCGAATACCCTTGACATAGATCATCATTTCCAATTTAATGTACCTTTTTGTTTCTTTGTTTAATTGAGGTGCTACAAAAAAAGCCAACTAAATATAAATGTTTCATTTAAAAGTTGTAAATGAATCAGACTTTAAAAATGTAGATACAGACACTTCACAGATAATGGACAATGCAAGACATCGGTGAGCAAAGACGAGTGTATTCAGCATTGAACTCGGATTGGGATTGTTTATGTTTTTACTGTAATAATAAGGTCATTATAAAACATTAATTAAACCACATCATTATTTAATGTTTAAAAGAAATGTTTTCTAGTTATTTTTAAATAATATGTAAAGAAATAAGGAAATCACCCATGGAAAATTTAATGTAAACAGTTTCACTTCGGCCCACATGCAGCCCTCAGTCAAGTTTGCTTTTTGCTTTATAAGAAAAGGTTCGGGCACCCCTGCTTTATAGTCTTTTGCTCAAAATGTCACACATTTTTTTTTTTTTTATGGGGTAAAATATGACTTCTTATATGCGTTCTTGACAGGTTCAGTGAGATTCACCCGTTTGGTAACAATGGTGCTAATATAAAGTCATGTTAGAGATGTGGACTCTTTCGTTTAGTGCCCGTGTAAATCTGAATTACGATGTTTGTGTGAATTTTTGTCTACTTTTAAGGGTGCTCTATAACAACGCTGCGTCTGAAATCGCCTACTCCTCCAGTATGTGCTGCGTTTGAGTTTAAATTTACTACACGACGGTAGTATGAATAGTGCTTGGACGTACTACATCTGCCATTTGTTATTGTCATGTGCCCTCCTTGCATCATCCCTTCACTGTCTTTTATGATTTATCTCGTGTGGCATCATTACGATAGCATAGCGTCCATTGGAAGCACACATCAAAATCTCACCGGAAGTAAAAGGTCATCTGGGTAATTCTTGCTTACTGTTTTTTAAATGCTATTGCTGCGTTCCTTATACTACGCCCTAAAACTATGTACTTTTGAGTGTGTAACAGAAGAGTATGCAAGCTTTGGGACATACTACTTCCTCATTAACAGATCATTATGTTGCTTTATCGTGGTGGGCAAAGCAAGGCTTCATGAAACACTGAAACAGTCAAAGTAAATGTGTTGTAGCTTCATGTTTAAGACTTGTGCTTGTGTTAAAATGCCAGTTTCACGTCAGCCATCCCTATTGCTTTATTACATCCTGTCAATCATCACGACACATCATCATTGATTACCTAACTTATTGGAGAAGTTGGAGAAGTCTTTCATGCAGAGAAATCTCCTCAGGTCTTTGGTTATCTATGCATTGAAAAGTTAATGTCCAGACACTTGATACATCGCTGTTGCAGATGAAATATACCACAGAAAATGCCATTTAAATGTTTTTCAGGGAGCTAGATATTAATTAATAGTCATTCAAACAACTTTACCGAAGCCTCAATACTTGATGGTTGGTCTTGCACGTCTGCCATATTTGTAGTTCATTTACACAAGTTTGTAGTTCTAATCAATTTCACGTCCAACGCACGTGTTATGTGGGCAATATTAGCAGTTAGAGTATGGACGCTTCAACATTTCGAATTTTTACTGAAAATAGTAAACCACCCAGGAACATTTGGCGTATTCCAACATACTACACTTTGGGACACACTAGTTTTATTTTCAAACACTGTTTAGGATGCCAATTGGAACGCAGCTATAATGTTTTTTCAAATACTATGAATTCAGATATACTACTTGGCTCGCATACTGTTTTTAGTGTACTATATAGTATGGATGTACGCGATTTCAGACACAGCCCAAGCGTCATTCAGTCTGGAGAAGCGTCCGCCATGTTGAATGCGCTCTACCATAAGCTTGAGCTTCCTCTGTGGTACAGAAGAGTTTTGTACTTTCGCCTCAATAAAGCACAAACGTCCACCGGTGTCTTCTGTAAGGGAAACGTTTCCGTAGCTTTAACGTATATGCAAATACTGGTCGTAATCGGCTTTCTTAGTTCTTTCTTCATGACCGTGTGTATAATTCTGCAGGCTTTGATGTATACAGCGAGTCCCTTTTGCTAATTTAATGTTATTTAAATGTTACGAGCGCGCTTTTAACCAAATTCTCTGTTGTGGCAGAGTTTCTCTCCAGATAACTTAATGATCCGACTGATCTTACGGTTGATAGATTTATTTGATGTGTAAATTTGGGGTTCCAGAGAACAATATATTGCTTTTTTTTTCGATCTGTTTATTATTATTATTTTTCTATCCTGTTTATTTTTTGTCTATAATATTGATATTAATAATCTAAAGTCGTACTGTACCAGGACTGTGCTCTATATTACTTCTAGAGATGGATTTTTGTTAAATACATGTGAACGTTCAGCATCAAGGATGGAATTCTGATTACCTCATTATTGCCAGATTTCTGTTTGTGAAAAACTTCAACTCTCAGATTCAAGCATCTCATCTCTTGGGCTTCAGTGTAATCAGTTTCTTCTCAACACGTCCTCCGCTCTGTGTGTTTTCTGCGTGTCGGTTTTCCGTACTTGGTTAAATATGTGGATTCTGAATTGGTATTAATGCTTACATACCCAATAAAGATGTTCTTACACCAAAGTCTGTGTTTGGGATGCTTGTTTGATTAAAAAAAAAGATGTTATTGGCTTATTATTATTATTATTATTTTACATTTTCTAGCTTGAATGAGCTAGACTTGCAGTCTGTTTTCTTTAGCAGTATAAAACTGTTTAAAGGTGCAGTATGTAAGTTTGACACCCAGTGGTTGAACTAGGTATTGCACTCGTGGGTCAAAACACGCTCAAGTGCAGGTTGCCAGATTGAGGACCAACAGCAGTGTGCCTGACTATCGAGCCTGAAGGCTGATTTGAGGCTGATTTAAACCGTGTTCTAACTAAAAGCAACGACATGCGATAGAAGAAATATTTTCCATATTAAGAATTTTTGTCCTAACCAACATCGGAAATTTAAATACTAGAAACGGCTTCTGTTTCTTGCAGTTGAACAACAGAAAACTGACTATGTTTCCCTCAGGCAAACCTCATGTGCTTTATTTAGTGTTAAATGCTAATGATGTGAGCTTGAATGCCATTTTAC